CATTGACCTCGCTGCCTGAGAAAGCCTGCCCGCCCCCGCTGCATCGGCCACCCTCTTCCCATCCCAGCTTTTCCCCGTTTACGGCACCACTGATGGGGACCCGACATCCCTCCCAAACCCCTTTTCATCCCATCCAACCGAGACCTGAGCTTTGTCTCGTCTTGCCCCACCAAGGCCCTCACCCCTCGGGCGTGGGGAATGCCTCTTCCTGACACAGCTCAAGCATTGCAAAAATGCGTCCCGGCTGGCTGGGGCCGAGCAGCACACCGCGGGCCGGCATCCCAAACCCACCTCTTCTCCACCCCAGGCCGACAGCCCCGTCCCACCATCCCTCGCCCCTTCCTCGCCTGCTTCTTCCTCACTCCTCTCCCCCACCTGCGAAACAAGCAGTCTTTGTCTGCTCCCCACTGTTTGGAGGAGCACAAACGGCTTGAACTTTCCCTGAGTGTGTTTTTCCCCACCAACAGGACTGCGTGCTGTGCCGATGCCAGGTATTAACTAAGAGGATGACTCAACAAACCAGTTCAGACCGAGCAAGAACAACCCTTCACTTTTCTTCCAAGGCTCCAGCTCAGCCCAGCACAGGCTGTTCCGGAGCATCAGAAAAGGTTAGTTAACTTGAAATATGACTTTTTAAACAGTTTATTACATCTCCTCTCCTTTGGGTTGCAGCTGGTATGGGAGGATGATGGAAATGCAATCAAGGAGACCATTCCAAGGTAGTTTTTCCCTAATTTTTTCTGTCTGGCTTCCAGGTTTCCCTGTGAGATCTTGGCATGTATTTTGCAGAAGAGGTGTGCTACATGGCAGGTACCATGAGAAGTGGCACGTGCCGGGGGATGGAGATGGAGGGCTTCAGGAAGGATGAGCTCCCCAGTTTGCTTTTGGCCAGGAGATCAGCAGAGACTCACGAGAGCCCCAGCATCCTGAGCTCCCCAGCATCCTGAGCTCCCCAGCAGCCTCTGCCAGATGGCTCCAGCTTGTGACGGGGCAAAGGCACGTGGCACGGAGGGGCCTGTCCCACTCACAGAGGGTCAGTGGCTCCAGCTGTGATGGGGAGCAGAGGCAGCACTGAAGGTTCCCACTTGGGAAAGCTGCAACACTGAAATGAGCTGATAAAGGCAGTAGTTAAAAAGAAAAAAAAAAAATAAACTAGAGACAACCGCAAAATGCGTGCTCTGGGAAGCATGGCTGGGCAGGGTCATTGGATGCTGGTGGCCCTGCAACCTCCAAGTCACTTCAGGATGATAATCCATCCAGGAGACATCTCCTCCCGTCGCTTTCTTGTGGATGAGAAGGAGGCAAGATAGGAGCATGGGGTGTGAAGCAGCAGTGTGGGGCAGAAAAGCCTCCCTTGGAGCATCAAGGGATGACAAGGGGTTGATTTGTTCATGCCAACGCACTGGAGGTTTGTCCTGCCCATGGCTCACTAGGATTTGGAGAGAAGGAAGCCAGGAGGTCTTTAATGGCAGCATAACATCTACGCCCAGCTCCACCAGGAGAAAGCCTGCAATCAACTGGGACTGTCCCCGCAGAGAAAGGAGCAAGACCAGTTCAGGAGGATTGCGCCAGACTGGGCAGTGACCTGCAAATGCAACCCCGGGGGGGGGGGAAGAACAAATCCAACGTGATGCGGAGGTGGGAAACCAGCTCCCTCTGCCTCTGCAACGGGCTCCAGAGCGAGGAGGTGCGCGGCGAGGGGCGCTGCCAACTGCAAACCGCGTCCCTGCGAACGGGTGGGGGGATGTCCCCGGCCCCCGCGCAGCCCAAGCAGAGCCTGTGCCCCCTCACCTCCCGTCTCACCCCCAGCCACCAAACAGATGGGCTGGGAATCGTTTGCCCTGTATTATTCCACGAGGACGGACAATTTCTGCGCAGCGTTGCCCGAGCTGTCAGAATTCCAGCCGGGTGGCTCTGTAGTACCTGCCAAGCGTGGCAAACATCTGCTTTCAGCTTGGGGAGGGAAAATCAAGGTGTCGCCTTCGCTTCCCCAAAAAAATAAAACAAAACCCAACCCACTGGGTTTCCTGGTGAGCCGACCCGTGACTGAACACGCATTATCTCTGTGATGAGAGGGCACGCGTGGCCGTGCTGGTCACAAAAGTCCTGGGTGGCTTCGTGGCCCAAAGAGAGCGGGGAGACAGGGATGAGCTGTGGGTTTGCAATGGGAGGGGGCTGGGGAGCAGCAGAGATGTTCCATCCAGAGCCCCAAGCGAGGCCAGGGTGGGAGGGAAGGTTTCGCAGTGTCAAATCATTACATTTGGATGTTTTTCTACATGAGGCTTTCTGCTTCCAAACAACTGGCGCTTTCTGTTCAGCGGCTGACCTCAGTGGGAAGAAAAATTGCTGCACAAAAGGGACAGCGAGCCTGACGCCAGAAGCATAAACTCGGCGCTGGTCCCACGAGCAATTCTGGGTGGGTCCAGACAAGGCGTTTTTCAGAGCTTTTGTTAAAAATAGTGAAATAAAAAGCCCTCAAAAATCTGATTTTTTTGAGAACTCTAAGGCACAGTTAGTTTGAACCCTCTTGTGCCAGCACCCTCCCAGTTTTCTGGTTTGGCCCCTACACCAAAAACATCCATATCTGCCCTGTTGCTTCATCTTCTCTGAGACCCTTTTGCTCGCTCACATTAATAGAAAAACATCACCCTAATTAATAAACCCTGCAAGAGCCACTGAAATCCTGAGTGCCTCATCAACCCTCAGAGCACTAGTCTGTTTTTCTTCATCTTTCTGCATCACTGCCTCCTTTACTCGGCTGTGGAGATCATTGCAATTTATATTCGTGTTTTTATTAATTGCAGAGAACCCATTCACCTGTTCTGCACAAAGCGCTGGCCGTTTGGTCCCTCTGCCCACGCAGGGCTCCTGGACACACGTTCTTCAGGAGGCCACATGCCTGTTGGGCGCACATGGCTGAAAGACCCCAACAGTTCTTAATTACATTAAAAATCAATGTGCTGCCCAAAGGAGGAATAGCATTTTGGTGACTGCTGGTGGACCTCCCCAGTAAGACCTTCTCCAGAAGGAGGAGATGTTTCCCGGAAGATGCTTCACAATTTTGACCCATGAGCAGTCGATTTGGGGTGAATTGCCACGTTTACACTCAGCCACGGCCACCACAGAGCACACAGGTAGTGGGAGAGACCCAAGACATGGCGATTGCAAGAAGATTTCCCATTACAATGGCCAACAAAACCGAGACATGGTTTGGCAAACTGCATACTCAAAATGTCTCAGAGTTTTGGACTAGCTAAAAAGTCCTATTTCTACATGTTCCAAAGAAAAATTTGTCTGGAATTTTTTTTTTTTTTTTTCCAAGGTGGGGCAATTATTTCACTCCAACACTTAGCTCAATTAATTTTACAATGTGCTTAAGAGGAGAAAGGAGAGCAGATGAAACCTGCACCCAAATATTCCATAGTATTGGGCCTGTGCCTAAATACATCTGAGCTAAGCTACCCATGAGATCTGCTTCCCACTCCCAGGCTTGGAGTTTTCTGAGGGACACGTGGGCAAGAAAACCCAGCCTAGGAAAACCACTGGGGTTCAGGGGTGGTTGCAGGATCAGCCCATTGGGTCATCTGGAGGCTTCTGTTCGGGGATTCAACTGCGGGTTTGGGGGTTCAGCTGCAGCATCCATCATTTTGGATGCTCCAGTGAGCATCCCTCACCAGAGCCTGGTACTCGGCATGGCTGTGGTCTCTGGCTGCCTTCCAAGCATTTCCCCAGAGCCCCAAAACTGGCATCTAATAGGGTCACTGGTCACACTGGTGATCCATCTGAAATTCCACACATGGCAGACAGGGATGCGCTTCTGGGATTTCCAAGAAAATGACAATTAGGTGGGGTTTCTTTTGCCCTCTGGGTTTTTTGGGACCCCGCCCTCAAGTGTGTGTTGCTGCACCCAGGACTGGGCATCTCTGACTCCCCAGTTGCCACCATGCTCTGTTATGATCCCACTTCATTATTCTAATTTGTGATGTTTTGCATGACCCTATGAAGATATAAATCCCTGCATCTCCTGCTAGGTACCAATGCCCTTACCTGAAGGAGTTTTAAAAGCCTGTAAAACTCTCTAAGTCTTTTTAATGATGAGAAATAAAGGAAAGCCTCAGCAGGGGTGGGTGCTGTTCTGCACCAATGAACCAGTGTATCACTCCAGCAAGAAGTGATCTCGTTATGATCTCCCCTAAGGAACCATCCCCCGGGAGCTGGCTGAGGTGCCTTGGTGCCTGATGGTAAAATACAGGACGTGCTGTTCAGCCAAAACTCCCAGGCAAAATGTTTTATGTTCATAAAGCACCGAGAGGCAGCCTGACCGTGGGCAGCGTGAGAGGGAGAAGGTGAAGCCCCTGCACCCACCTGGTCTGTGAGGAGGGCGATGGGCACTTTCTGAGCCTGGCTGTTTTCTCGGGCCCAGCAGCATCCCACAGCAATGAGCTGCACGGCCCAGTGGCACGGCGAGCGTGAAAATACTCTCCTTGGCACAATTTGGGTGGCAAGCTGCCGTCTTTGGTTCTCCCGCGTGTTCCCCGCTGGGGATTTTAAAGGATGCTCTTGCCTTCAGGATCACAGCCGGGCTGAATCGGTCGTGCTGGCTGGCAACGGCACCTGCTTGGACTTTATTTCTGACTCCAGGCATTAAATCCCAGATTCCCATCCCAGGCCAGGGAAGTGGGAACAGAAATGGGTGTCTGCAGGCAGCAGCCTCGGGGCTGGCTCACAAAGCATCAGCTCGACTGTGTGCTTGTGTAGATCCCAGCTGGGGCTTCAAATCTCCGCTTGGGTCACCTACATCCACCCAGCCCCTTCAGCCACCTGCCCCACCAAAATTCAGGCTCAGGACCCCAAACAACTGAGGGCTTCCCCACTTCCTCCCTTCCCTTCCCCAGGGTTATCTCCAGAGCTGAGGAACAAGCACCAGCTTTTTGTCTGGAAGAAAACTCCAGAAGAGAAGAAGACAGAGGGAAAAGCATCACTTGCAAGAGAGCATTTGCTTGGGTCAGCCTCTAGTAGGAACGTGTTTAATTCAGCATTGTTTGCATGAATTAACCATTGCAGGTGGAGGGATTTTCTCCATCCCTTGGATGCTCAGCTGTAGGATGTTCGGAGCTGCTACATGCCAGGATTGCTAGGCATGTGCTCCACGTTTGCAAACTTGTTTCAAAAACATTTTGAAATTTCCCTGGAAACAGATTTCTAAAGAGGGACTGGACACTGAGACAGATCTGGATCTTTGATTCCAGCTCTGATAAAAAAAGATAACCCATCTTGTCATGGAGAGGAAAGTTTGTCTCTAAAGGAAAAGTCAAAGCATCTCCTTGTGAGTAGGGTCAGCCATGTTCCTGCAAAACACCTCAGTCTTGACGAAACCATTGTTTTCTGCCAGGAAAATTATAATAAAATACCGGCCCATGGGAGATGGGATGTGACAGAAATCATCCATCACGGCCGTGCCAAGGAGGAGTCACTGCAGCGAGCTGGTACCAGGACCTCGTTGCTCTGAAGGCGTGCTGGCAGATCACCCCAATTCCCCAAAGTTTACCTTGGCTCCGGAAGATCCTTCCAAACAATTAATGTGTTTCTGAGCTGACATTTAAAATGTTGGAAGGTTCTGGCTGGCTATGGAGTTCTCCTCTAATTACGTTCCAGTACGTTGCTTGTCATGAACTCGTTACTAGCCTGATCCAGTGTGGGCAGATTGCAAGAGACATATTTTGTCCACGAACACTTGTGTTTTGGATCTTGTCAGAGGCTAACCCCAGGAGAGCTTCAAACAAGAGCGACTTTTTCCAGTTTTCAGGATTTGCAATGACTTCATCGCGTTTTCTCAGTGCAGATCAGAAGTTTAATGGCAAAGAAAAGTATTAACCCAGAGTTCAGGTTTGCAGGGAATGTGAAAGAGCAGTGATCTGGGAAAAACAAGGTGCAAGATGATATGAGAATATCAGCTCAATAATACAAGCATAAAAACCCCTTCACAAACAAAAAAAACCCAAACAAACAGAAAATGTGAAGAATTCCCACTGCTATTCACAGGAAGTTTGTTATACTTTTTTTTTTTTTTTTTTTTCCCTTTCTTTCTTTTTAAGACTAATATTTGGATTTGAAAACCTCTGCCATGAGAACAAGTCAGCCTGCTTTATGTCCAAGAGCAACCAGCCAGGCTTTGGACATGCTCCTTTTGAATGAACTGGCGACCTGATTTTGGGAGCTGCCAAATAAACTCCCTTGGCTCCGCTGGGCTCCCCCCACCCACGGGCACAAGACAGGCGAGGAGCTCCGACACAGTCGGTTTTATCTGCAACAGGGTGAGATGCATCCAGGCGGTGAGTTGGGCTGGCAACTCGGGGTTGGCAGAGTTTGCTCGCGATGCACAGAAACGTTTGACCGTCTCGGACCCGCACGGGGGGCTTTCATCACAGTTATCAGCAAAGTGGGGTTTAACGATGGCTGTCGCTTCTGCTCAGGCTGGAAACTACACAGTTGGCCTCAGAAAGCTATCAGAAGTCAACAGGGACTCTGCAATGACAAGCTCAGCCCAAAAAGGTGTTGCTTTGCTGCTCCCTCTTAATTACGATGCTCGTGACAGCAGAATAGGAGCAAGGACTGCTTTTCTCTCCCCAGTCATCTCTGTGCCATCTATCTCCCAACAGTTCATTTTAATTATGCAATTATAGTGTGTACAGAGCTTTCTGTGAGCTTTAGTGGATAATTAAAACAGATGGTGAGCTTAATGGGACCGAGTCCCTTTTCTTCTTTTAATTAATGTGTTAACAGTCTATGGGCCAGCCTGTGGAAATCTGTTATTCAGCAGCTCTGTGGGTCTACAGCCCTGCCACACTCATAGGTGGGCATGCATGGAGATGGTGTCCTGAACATGGTGGTGGTCTCGAGCAGGTCCCTGCACACCTCAGATGTCACCTCCACAGTGTCGTGCACCTCACTGGTAAGACACAAGCACCCTCGAAGCGATGCTGGATGGATGCAGGTCTTCCAGGCACACACTGGCCGCTTGCAAGACCAGGACACCCAAGCACCTCTGAAGAAGATGTTCATCTCAAACCTCTGCTGGAAGCAACGAGGAGGAAGAGGAGGAGGCAGGCATGGGGCGGGGACACAGATGAGTCCCAGGGCACAATCCCCTCACTCCAACCTGCGGGCAAAAAACGGGATGCAAAACGCTCTTGGGGTCAAGGTGCGGGGACCAGCAGCGGTTGGGGAGCAGCAAAGGGACTCAGCAAGCTGGTACTGAGGGGGTGAGGCAGGACAAGTTTTGCCAGATGCTGAAACAATGCGCCAGCATCCTAATATTTTGTGACATATGGCCAACAGCAGCTTCCAAAGCGATGCCAACGGCTTGCGACACACGGTGCGAGCCCCCTGAGGCCAAGCAAAGCTGCAGATCTCATCTTTCCTGGAGGAGCTACCCCACCAGCAAGTGCCGGGTGTCGGGATGGACACGGAGCAGGGAGGGAGCAGGACCCCCAAGCTGGGGTTACACTAGGAAGAGAAGTTGGGAAACAGGCAGGTCGGGGTGGCACAGTGCAGGGGAGGTGAGGAGAGCAGGGCAAGGATGGGGATTTCTGAAGGAGCCCTCTGTTCGCCCGAGGTGCCTTGAGGCTGCAAGATAAGGCAACAGCAGGCTGTGAAATCTCGGTGGCCTCAGGAAGAAGGGACTGTGCCCCATCTCTGCCGACACAGGGTCAGGCAGGCATCAGATGATGCCAACGGGAGCCCTGTTCACAGCACCCGAAAGAAGGTGGGTGCCCAAACAGCACCTATTGGCCTTCCTGAGCTCCCCACCACAGGACGCTGGGGATCCCAGTGGTTACACGGGTTCAAGAGGATAGTGGAGAAATTAATGGGGCAGAAATCCACTGGGTTGCTAAATTCACAGAAGCCCCATCAGGAAGCCCTTGGGCTGGACACCTAAGATGAAGTGTCCATCACTGAATGGCTCCTGTGAAGCTTTGGCAGTGGGACGGGGCAGGCCGGGAGGATTCGCTTCAGCAGGGCAGTCAAAAATGCAAAAGGTAAGAGAAGCAAGTGTTTGGAGAGCTGCTTCCAAGCCTGTGGGTTGCTGGCAGGCACATTACAGAAGTGGCTAGCCTGATGAACTGATAATTTTTTGGTAAACTGGCCCTGATTACAGTAACAAACAAGGCACAGGGCATCACTGGAGAGGAATCCACCACTGGATTTGGGATAAATCACGGCCAAGGCACTGGCTGTGCCTTGGGTTTGGTTGGGCTGCTGGGATTAGCTTCTTGCAAAACCAGTGGTTTTGTGGGAATGATCCCTGAGCAAAAAGGGCCGCTTGATGCCATTGAACAAGGAAAACCTCCCTACAGAGGTTTGTTTTGCCCAAGCCCTGATGCTCTTCCAGGCGGTGGGGCGCGTCTCGCACCCACCAGGCAGCACACGAAGCTCTTGCTGCTGAAAGCATGACCAGAGGAATGAGCACGGCTGATGCAAGCAAGCTGGCAAGCTGAAATAATAATTCCCTGGTCAAGGGGAAAAAAAATGCGTGTTATTTCTGAGAGCACCGGGGGTTTGCCTGGTTTTGATCTCATGCTTTTTATCACAGACTAGACTGCAAAGCAGCTCTACAGCCCCCATGGAGGGGCACAGAGGTGCAAAATTAGGGGTGAGCCCTGTTCAAGGATGCGTCCCCCGTGTGCGGAGGGCAGATGAGGCCGGAGGGGACGAGGACACGCAGTGATGCTGCAGGCTGGCGTGGGCTTCTCCGCACATCTGCAGCCCAGCTGCTGGGCTACAGCTCGGCATTACTCAGCTTTTCCAAGCCTTCGCCTTAAAGTGACGTTGAAAAATGTTAATGTCAGGGAGAGGGACACCTCAGCGAGGAAAAGCGCGGCTCAGCAGCCGCATCCTGGCACTGGCAGCAGCTCTGCACGGCACTGGAGGTGTTTGGAGTTGGGGGAATGGACTTGGAGGAAACCACCTAACCCTCTCCAGGCCAGACCACCGGGATGTACTCACCCATGCCGAGCGTGCTGTCCCCAGCAAGGGTCACAGAGTCAGGTCAGTGTTAATCACCTTGGGATAAGCCCTGTCCCCCATCCGGGCTGCCCCAGTTCCCCCCGTCCCTCTTCGTCCGCGGCTCGCCGGAGGACCACACGCTTCCCAGCCCTTCCATTGCATAAGGAGCTTCGTTGCTACAACAGAAATTGCAAAAACCATGGAAACTGCTCGTCTCAGCCAAACCCAAACTTAACTGTATACACAGCATAAAATTTAGTTGCTTTAAACTTGCATTTTTTGGCTCAACTCTCCTGGCCACATCCTGAGCCCGAATGGATTGAATTACTGAGCACAAAATAAATTCCATCTGAGCGGGCTGCAGTCCTTGTCTCCCCGAACAAAGGCTGAGGTGTTTGCTTTGCCTTTTTTTTTTTTTTTTTTTTTTTTTTTTTTTTTTTTTTTGTCTTCAGGAAGAAAACGAGCTAACCTTGTCCACGTGGAGGAAGAGAGGCTGGGTTACTGGGAAGAACCGTGTTAGCTGTGATTGCCTGACATCAGCCACCTTCCCTGCAGCTCCACGCTGGGGACTGAAGGCGAGCAGAGCTGGAGCAGAGCCCACCGTGCCACCGTCTCTGGATCAACCCTGAGGGCCATGAATCCATTGCCTCCAGCATCCTCCTGACAGATGTCACCCGATGTGGCGGTGCCACCACCCTTTGCCCCGGGACCCCCTCAACTCCTTTGGAGCAGGGACCATGCACTGCTCAAAAGTAGAGGGAAGAAGGACTCCGAGACTTTGGGAGGGTGGGTAGCAGGGGACAGGGCTGCCTGTGGGCTCTCTTTTATCCTTAAATCGGGCAGGAGAGCGAGGAGGAAGGAGAGGGAGGAAGGGAGAAGGGAGCAGGAGGTGGTGCCAGAAGGGCTGGAGGGGAGCTGCAAACACCCACCAAGCATCATCCTCCTCTACCAGCCAGGGAGGGGGTGTCTCCGAGCCCCCCACCCAGCCGTGGTGCACAAAACCTGGACGCGCAGGGAGGGAAATACCCCAGCACTGCCCAAGCCCGGGGGTGTCGCGGTGGGGCGGGAGGGGTTTGCCTGTGCAGGCAGCACACCTGAGCTCCGGGAGCATCCCCCCGATCCCCAGATAAACTCAAACCAAGGGCAGGGTTCAGCAGCCAACCCCCCCCCCATACCCTGCTCACACCGACGGGGGCCGAATATGGAGGAAGAAGGATGAGGGGAACCCCCCGTGGCCCCTCACCGCTGCCGAGGGCGGCTCTGCCTGCACGCGTGGGAAGCGGCTCAGCCAGCTCTGCCTGTCCCTGCCCTCCTGCACCTCGCCTGTCCCGGCAGCCGCTCCACCCCGGAGCCAACATCCCCCGGCCCCACGGCGCCGGAGCGGGGTTTAGTCCTCTGCCTTGCACACGCCTGCAGACCCACCCCACGGAGGACATCTCCTCCACGGGGGCTCATCCCGTGGGGCCACAAGAGCCCCTGGGTCCATGCTCGAATAAGCCCATCGGGAGGCCTGACCCCAAAACCATCCTCAACGAGAGGGTAACCCCCAAAACGTGCTTTAGATACCCCTTCAGCTCTTGCTCATGGCCCAGCTACATGCCAGCCAGCCCTGCAGAAGCGCTGTGGGAAAGGAGTTTCTGGAAATTTTTGCTTGATGAACCATAATTTGCTCAGAGCAACCAAAATGCTTCGTAATTTGCCAAATTAATTCTCCACTGGTGGCTTGTGCACCCTTAGAGAGTCTGGTCAAGGTGAAGGCTGCAGCCGGGAGGGAAAGCTGGAGCATGTGCCCTACTCCAGCCTGTATAACAGTTCCTCGAGGATATTTTGGCTTATTTATTGACTTTACTATTGTAGTTCTTTTTGGAGAAAAATAAAAAGCAGGGAGGGATTACCACTGACACTCTCACGATGGGGTTTGTGCGTTGCGTCGGTGCAGAACCTGGCTAAGGGCTGGGGCTGTGGTGGCCGTGGTTTGCTGTCACCACTACAGAGGGTTGTTACCAGCTCCTGTCAGCCCCTTCCACGGCATCCCCAGGGAGCTGGAAATAATGGGACAGCAGCTGAGGACACGAGGATGGACTTACGTGATTTATCACACCCTATTTTCCACACTGGGAGAGCAACCATCTCCTCAAAGATAGTCTTACCCAAAAATGATGAACACCCTGGAGCAGCAACATCTCTTCTGTCTGTGATGCCTTTTTTCAGGTGGGATGAACCATCCAAGCTCTCTTGCACATCAAGGTGTAATGTCCTTGGTGCTGGGGCTGAGCCACTCAGAGTGAATTCTCCCTCACACCTTCTCAGGCTTCACATTTAATAATGATTCGCATATACTCCGTGGAGCTGTGGAGCAATGATTGCCCAGTTCCTTTATCGAAAACGATGTCTGGCCAGGAAAGCTTGGCATGGCTGCGGCTTTGATCTCAGCTCCTCGCAACTCCCATGCACCAACGCTTGCTGCATCGCGTCTGCCGAGGCCGGGTCACGCTTCCCCATTGTGCCATGGAGTACCTGTGGTCAGTTCTCAGTGAGACTTTTCCCAAATCATCACCATTTCCACAGAATTATGGTGCCACGGCGATTTCCTGCAGCCAGGCTGCTCTAGCCCCTCTGTGATGAGCAGATATGGCTGAAGAGGATGTCTACAAGGGGAAATAAAATAAAAAAAAAAAAAATCACATGGGGTTCCCTCGTCCTCCTCCTGAGCCACTGAGTCTACTTCTTGAGACAAGCAGTTGCTTCGAAAGTGGAAATCTGTCTTTCAAACGTCATAGAATCGTAGACTGAATCGTTGAATGGATTGGGTTGGAAGGGACCTTAAAGCCCATTTAGTTCCAACCCCCCTGCCGTGGGCAGGGACACCTTCCACCAGGCCAGGTAAACATTCAGCAGAGCAGCAAAGTGAGTTTTCAAACAAGGATGAGAAAAATAAACAAAACCAAGCCCCAGCCCTCCAGCTTGTAATGGAAGGAAAGAAAACAGCCGCTTGCTGTGGCCCATGGCCACCTCCCAGGTCCTCCTTGAGCTTACAGCCGGTTCGGCTGGTGTGCAGCACACCACCAGCAACTCCAGCTCCCCCAGCAGCCTTGCTGCCATGGGGCTCCATCTCAAAAACCTCTGGTGCTGGGAGCAGGGCTCTGCTTGCCCTGTGGCCAGTGTCCTGTGGGGATGGCATGAGGTAAGCTGGTGGCTCTGGGCAAGCTCCAGTTCAGCAGTGGGATGGGCACATCCCCCGTGGGAGTGGAGGGAGGAAGAGGGACCTTCTCAGCAGAGGTTTCCAAAGAGATCAACCCAATCAAATGCCCACTGTCAGCCCAAGCTGAGCCAAATCCGACACTTGGCTTGGGCTGAAGCAGAAAGGTTCATCCTCACCTTCTCCAAGAGCATTGCACCCACTAGGAAACGGGCATGTGCTTATGGGGGGACACGGCCTGGGGTCTTCACTGGCCCCACGGCCCCGGGAAAGAATTGTTGTCCTCAGTGCACGACTCTTCTCCAGTCACAGCAGCTGACACAGTGTGAGGTCGGGAAGCACCACGGGTGTCCAGGAGCTGGGAAGCTACAGAGAAATCTTCTGCCAGACCCACAAGGAGGAAGGGAGGGAGAATCACGGCTGCAGACACGTTATTTGCAGACAAAAAGCGTGCGGGATCCGGCCTGACCCCTCATTACACACGGCTGAAGAGCTATGTGCATATTGAAATAATCCCTTCAAAGAAACTGGTGAGGAGACAGCACTGAAGTATTGATGAGGCAAGCTGGCACAGGGATTGACCTTGATGCATTTGTGATTTTTATTAATAACTTCAGAGAGGGCACACAGCACCCTGGCACTGTCACACACAAACACAGCCCCCTTGCCGCTGCCTCGCGCCGGGCTGTGAGAGCTCCCCCGGCCGAGGACGAGCCCGAGGTCTGACCCCAGGCTGGGCCATCTCCCGCCCCACCAGCCTGGCTCTGCCACTCTAAGGCCCGGAGGCTTGTCTTGTGCTCTTAGGGCTTTGAAAACAGAGGCACAAACAAGAAACAAGAGCAGAATGTGGTGCTGCGGATAAATATCAATTAAAATCGGGGGAAAAAAAAAAAAAAAAAAGTGGGGGGGGTGGAAAAAGGGCATGAAGAAGAACCTCAAATGAGATTTCAGCTCTACCTCCCTTGGGATTTTTCAAGCAATGGCATTGGAATCCCCCACGTCCCCATCTTTCTGTGTCTTCTCTTCCCAGCCCAGTTCTATCTCCGCTCCTGCGGAGCATCTCAGCACTCGTGAGGGGTTCTTGCCGCTCCTGACCTGAAGCAGCTCTGCTCTGCTGTCCTCCACGATTCTCACCCTGATACGGGTCAGAGGATTTCGGGGACTCTGCTATGAGACTTGCTGTGTCTTGTTTCCAGACTGCCTTGGCCCTGCTTTCCTCCCTGGGCTTTACAGGTAAATGAGATGGCCATCAACAAGGGCTTAAAATGAGCCGCGGTTCTTCCTGCAGATAAGCCAGGGTCTGGTGGGGCAAGCGGCGCCCAGCCCCACACCTCCTGGGCAGGGGCTTGAAACATCTGAGCTGCTCCTGGAGAAAGAGTGGGCTGGATGGTGGTGGTGGGGGGGATGTCTGTCTGCCTCCTCCTCGCCCCCAGCTCTGCACAGCCTGCCAGTCCATGCCAAAAACCCTCCTGTCCTGCAGGGAAACGTCTTTCCCAATCCCCTCCGCATTCCTGCCTGACATATCTCAAGCCTTGGAGAGGAGATGGGGCATGTCAGAAGAGCTGTGGGTCCCCAGGCAAGGTCTTCTGGCTCAGAAGGACACCAGCCACCCCCCACGACCCCATGCAGGACTTGATCCAGCACCAGCGGAGATGCTCCTCAGCCTGTTGTCTGCACCAACAAATATTACTTGACGTCACTGAAAACTTCATTGTGTGTAAAGAATTTATCCTCACAAAACACCAGGAAGCCCAAACTATCCTGTTGTGCCCATTTTACAGCAGAGAGAATGGCTGAATGAATCCCCCAGGAGTCTGCAGTAGGATCTCCCCTCCCTGTGCTCATCTTTCTCAAAGCAAAGACTGCCCAAGGCCATGGGACCTTCCCATCCCACTCGTCTGGGAGTACAAGGAGACAAAGAGAACTGGAGAAAAAGAAGAAAAATATCAGTTATTTTCAGGATCACTCCAGGGACTGGATTGCCCTTTTCTCCCCCTCTTTTTTTCAAAGGCACATCTCCATCTCACTTGGT